ACACATACACACAACCAGAGGGAGACAGAGAGAGGGAGTGCGGGAAGTCCAAGAGTACCGTAGGCCTACTTAATGTATTCATGGGTCAAAGGTTCAGCCAATCGTAGCCCGCTTTACGCCTTCTGTGTAGGCGCATGTAGGTTAAAGGTTTCTCTACTTAAACTGCCAGGTCGTCGGGTACAATCGCGGTGGGGTTGTAGTGTGCACTGAAACCACCAGAAAGCGACAAGACCCGATGACCCGACCCAACCCGACCCGACGCGACCCGATCCGCATTCGCTAGTGGGTACCCCCTGTTAAGGAAACAGTACTCACCCTCTTTTTCGTGCAGTGTTTCAATCCAATGGGAGCCACACGTTTCTGCGTGGTTTGAGCGACCCACATGTTTGCGTCGTTGTAGCCCCGGGACACACTCTGGGGAAAGATTTTATTTGTCTTGCATCGTGGTGAAATCAGGTGCTCATCAAAATTATAGCATCGATAATACTGACATTTTTCCCTCTTGACAAGTTTGGCAATTCTATTGATTTTTTTTGGATTTTTTTTTTGTTTGGTGGCTCAGCACCTTTTATGTCCATTGAAAAACACATTTCTAAGTAGATTTTACTGAAAAACGTTGATTAAAGACATTTAAAAATACATAAATATTCAGTTTTCAAGAACCCTAAAGCTATAGAAGTCACCAAACATTGGTGTCCATTTTCTCCCTAATTTCACCTTCGAAACCAGATTGCCCTTACCTCCTTCAATAGCATGTTCAAGATTCATAAGCATTTTTTTCATCGAGAGATAGACAAATGAACAAGCTTTAAGATGATACCAATAACTCTACATGCCAAAATTTTATGAGGGTCTGATTCCACTGCGTCGTGACACATACTTTTCAATCAAAACTGGATAAAAACTTCGCTGCAAAGATTGCTAGCATGCTACTTGAAAAACTAATTAGTCTCTTCAGGAAAACAAACGCTCGCCACCTTTCCCCCTTTGCTTTTCATTTGGCTCAAATAGTGCCCACCATAGAAAACTAGAAATGCACCAGTGGGCATTGTCTATGGTATTAAAGTACAAGTTCGCTTGTAAATGCAACCTGTCAATTTCTACTTTTACAGGAGACTACGGTGAATATAAGAGGATTGAAAAGGGGGCGAGGCAAGGATGCATAATGTCACTAGACATCTTTAACGTAGTATACACAATGACAAAATCAATAGGAATAACAGAGAAGCTGAACGTCCATGTCTCAGAGTAAATGGCTTATTTACAGTCCAATCTGCATATCGAAAATATATTTGACGGATAAAGATCTGCAGCCACAGAAAAGCAACAAAAAAATGTCGATTTTAGAAAAAATGTAGCAGACGGGTTTCATGAACTGAACCGTCAAATTGTTTTCAAAGGTACAGAGTGTGAACTCTGACCTGTGGTAACTTTGAATAACATGGCACCTGCTTTGGCAAAACAGTGCAGTTCAAAGACTGCAAACTGTAAATTGTGTCCATGTTAGCAAGCTGTTCAAATGTACTAAACTCACAAATATTTGTTTTTAGGAAATATCTTTTTAAAACTGTTTCATTGTTATAAATATACATTGTTCCTTCATAGAGTACATGTTCTTGAGTCTTCAGTATGATTTAGAATGTGAATGTCGACAATATATTTCTCAAATACATACAACCAATAGCAGTTTTAAAAGGTACAATTATTTTTTTTTATTTTTACTGTTAATGTTTGGGTGTGGTAACTCTGAACAGCTCGCCGTCGACATAATAATAAGTATTGTGTTTACCTTGAGCCCCATAGCACCGGCTTTTGCGAAGCGGAACCAGCGATGGTAATAGCCAGACTTGAGCTTCGTGTTACCCTTTGACTCGAGAGAGAACATATCTTCCCCGAATGACGCTTGGCTGAGGTTAGTGGCGGGAATGTTGTCTTTTCCCGGGATCTTGTAGAAGAGACGGTCGATTTTGGAGTACTTGGTGAATCTGGAGAAGGACAAGACATAATAATATTATTATTTCCTCCTTTGTTGTTGTTTTTTTCTTCCAATTCCAACTGCTACCCTCCTACTCCTTCTCTTTCTCATCCTCCTCCTTCTCCCTCCATCCTCCTCCTCTTGCTCCTCCTCCTTCTCCCTCACTCCTCCTCCCCTTGCTCCTCCTCTTTCTCCCTCACTCCTCCTCTTTTTACTCCTCCTCCCTCTATCCTCTTCTTATTCCTCCTCCTCCTCCTGTTACTCCTCCTCCTCTTTCTCTTCTTACTCCTATTCCTGCTTTTCTCCTTACTCCTACCCCTACATCCCCTCCTCCTATTCACAGACTAACTCCATCTGAGATAGAGAAAAGAGTATGGCTCAGTATGCCTCTGAAACAGTACCGTCATAAAAACAAAAAAATACAGGGAATGTATGGTCATGATTGTAAATTGAAATAAAATCAATTAAGTTGGGTGGGTTTTCATATGAAAAGATAAGAGTATGGGCCTTACTGTTTTTAAAGCTTTTTATGAGAAGGTGGGAGGATTCTTTTAATATTTAGCAGGTTTATGGTGTTTGTATTTGTATTTTACTTATTTATTGTTGGGGGGGGTTTGCTTTTCTAAGTTAAAGTTGATTCATCTTATTTAAAATTATGAATTCAAAGAGATAGAATGTGTTCATTGTTAGGCTTTGAAGGAAGATTAACAATCTCAGTTTTGGAATGGAAAATGTATTGTCCCGAAAAAAGGTGAAATGAAATAAAAAAGGGAAACAGAAAACGCTTTCAAATCAAACCCTGACAAACATCATCATCATCATCATCATCATCATCATCATCATCATCATCATCATCATCCTCATCATCCTCTTCATCCTCATCATCATCATCAT